CTGCTGAGGGCTCCAACGAACGATTGGAGTGTCTGGATGAAAAGACGGGCAACCAAAACGTTGGCGCGAGTGGTGAAGGCCATGGTGTGCATTTTGGCACAGTCCAGAGCAACCACACGTTTGGGTGCACTCAATATCAGGGTGCTGCTGTGCCACCTATACCAGTTGCCAACTGGACCAAGGACTCGTACCTCAACCCAGAATCATCAGGCAGGGTATTGAAAGCAGGGCTGTCTGAGGCACCAGGACAATCAGGGGATACACTCTTTGAATTCCCCACATCTGCGCCACCAGCCACCAATGCAGCGAGTGGGCCACCTACATATGCCCTGCCTAGTTTTGCACAGGCAGCGGCCTGCGACGCAGTTGCTGCCAGTTTGCCTGTGAGAATGGCTGGAATCCAGGCAGCAGAATGTGAGCAGGCTGAAAAAGGTGCGGGGTTGAGCTCTGACAGATGTCAACTGCCAGGGGAGGCACTCGAGATTGACAGGGGATTAGATGTGTGATGTGTTTGGGTGGGAGTTTGGGTGTGATGTGTTTGGGTGGGTACAAGTCGATCTGCCCAGAGTGAAGGTGAGAGTAGAAGGGAGCTTGATTGTAGTGGAATGTCCGGGACTCGTGGTCGCGCATTTGTGCTGGATGCCGACTGTGATGGATGACTGTAGTTGGGCACTGGGTGCCGCTCTGCTTCCCCAAGGACAACAGGCGCTGTCAATCATGTTCTGCGTTTTTTGGTTGTCTTGGGATGCGCACACGCCAGTCCAGCACGTCAGCTCTATATTGTTCTTCAAGTCTCAATGTGCCAGCGGACTCGGAAGGGAAATGCCATCCTTTTTTGGGTATGTTGTAGACTCGGGCTGCATTTGGAATCTATTTTTTTGGCTAAGTGCCACTGTGCTCGTGTGTTTTATCCAGCGAGTCAAAAGCAAACGATACTTTTAGCTCAGTGCACGGTCGCTGCTTGGCACACGGCGGTTGCTCAAGAAGTGAGGACCATTAGGGAAGACGCTATGTCGATTTTGGTACGCTTAGAGTCAATTGACGTTACGCCCAGAACCCCACCCCCCACCCCACATATCCAACGGTGCGCGAGCCACACGCAAAGCGATAAGAACGCCATGAAGCTTGTCCAAGATCTCGGGATCGAAGGACATCGACTACTGGCTCCCACTTTGGAATGATGGCAGTTGCATTTCTCTCCCCAAGCTCACGCGTGCGCAGTCGCAATCAGTGGCACAGCAACCGAGGCCCTGCACCTAGACTGTCTCCCGCATCCTACTGCCTTCAGCAATGCAATTCGCCGCCATCGGCACAATGCGTCGCACTATGAGTGGCCCGCCCTCCCCACCACCGAATCGGGGCGCGTAGACTCATCTTTTGCCAGGAACCGGAGGTGGTCGCCAGTAGCCTTTGATGGGGTTATCATGGTGACCCCTTGCCCTGGCCAGGCTCTTTCGGTGATGTAGTGCTCTGCATTTGCACGAAAGCGTGAAAGTGGTTGGCCACCGTCCACCTTGGAGGGGAGGGCTAATGGTGGTTGGAAAGGGGAGAGCGCATGCTGAAGGGGATGGCATGTAAGTCCCACAGGATGCGATGGTCTTCAAAATCCGAAACCAAGTTGTTGGCTTTCATTTGCGTCGACTCCGATGATCATGCCGTGGTTTAGTGGACGATGCTGGGCATGGTTTTAACAGATGCATATAATGTGATACATGAGGATATGGTGCATTCAAACGCCTTGCACGACTCAGCCGCCGTGGCTCCGCCACCCTTGTCCATGCAATCCAGCAAGCACGTAACTCCGCGTGATGCAACTAAGTTCAGACGATATTGTTTGCCTCATGAGCGTCGTTCACGTACTGGTTGCGGACGAAACGACAGAGACAAACTTGATTGGGAGACCAACGGACTACAAACGAAGGACGGTCTTATTTTGTGGTCTGAAACGTGGAACCCCGTGGCAATTGCTCCGCAACAATGTCCACGATACAATGCACCACACGTGTGGCGGGCACACGTCCAGCGCGTGCATATCGCATTCGAGTTTTCCTTCACTGGCTGACGTCCTTACCTGACGCGTGAAAATGAATGTGCGCGTCAACGTTGTAATCCTAAAATAGCACAGTGTGAGCTTAACCTTACAGCTCGTCCCAAACAGCGTTCTAAATCAAGACAATGACGATAGGAGTATCGGCTCACCCTCTCATCTCCTTGCCCGTATTGCGGGGACGCCATTGCAACGCACGCGCATTCATGATTTACCATGCTGGCACTGTGCCCCACTTACCTGACTCGCACATGACACATCCATGATGATTCGACGGGCTTTCCCACTTGACTTATTCGCGTCTCCTGAGGTTAGCTGTGGCGTACGGTGACCTTCGCTGGGTGTGCCAACGTTAACATAAAGCAGGCTGCTGGTGCTACGTGATCGCCCGGCTGGCTTGCTGCCCTCCTGATTGGGACAAACTGGGGTATGGGTTCGCTCCTTGGTCGCTTCAGTTGCCCCGTTGCTGGGATCATTACCCATAAATCCGAGCAACAGTTCGCCGTATTTCTGGATACAGCTTCGACTCCCATTCGCCACTGCTTCCACACTCGTATTTAATCAGCACGGTACGATCAGCGCTGCCAACGCACTGCAGTAAAATCCGCTCCCAACCTAGCCGGGAGCATTCAACGTCGCAAATGCCCTGTCAGCCAAGCAATCAAGCAATAATGCGCGTTCGGATTCACCACCTGCCAAGTAGTAGTCCATATCATACAATGCTTGCCTCTTGTACATACACGTTATTCTGCACAGGAAAACCTTCTGGACAAACTAATGAAGTGTTCCCCCAGAGCGCTGAATCTGCTCTTTCAGAGTTTTCAAGGACTCCGCAATTTCATCCAGCTGGCCCTGTAACCTGCTTTCCATCTTTTCCAGCTGCTCTGCGTGCTCTTGTGTACTGTCCGTGATGGCTTCTTCGATGACCCCGCTTGTCCGCATGTACTGCGCGTCCATGGCACGCCTGAAAGTAGGCAAGTGATTTCAGTAGTTGCGGACCGCCGGAGCGGGCCCAACGGGCAGAGATGAACAACCACAATGCTTTTAGGCAAGTGATACTTGCGCAGCACTTCTTCCATGAACAACAAAATTGCTTTAACCAGCTAGTCAGCAAGTGAAAACAGAAAGATTTGTGGAGGGATCTCCACAAAAGTTGGGCCTCATACTGCTGCTGTCAAGGTGCAGCAAATGGCTCCTGTTTGGCCTGCCCAAGCGTGTGATCTGCGATAATCTACAACATCTTCTCCACTGAGAGGCCATGCAGCTGGCTTCAATGGCCGCGATGGTAACGCGAGCTGAAGCAGACATCATTCAGTCATGTTACTATTTCATGCCGCAGGTTGCCCCAATGAAGTCGGTCTAGCCTTTTGACATACATATGCAGCTGAATTGTCACCACAATCACAGTGCTATAGCAATATTTGTGCACTTCAAAGGAAGGCTTCATGGCAACAGCGCCAATGGGCACTTAACCCCTCACCATGCACTGATAATAATGGTGCCAAAGCCTGACTTAGAAACGTTGCCTGGTTCAAACTCAACACAGTGTGAATTACAAACAAAACGATTGCAGCAATTTAACACTACCCAAACACGGACAGGTAGTGTAGGAAATAGGCAGCTTTCCCAGCCAATCATGCACACATATCGCAGGCAGGCACAGCAAAATTCCCACAACAGCATCCTGACAGGCACAGTGGCGCTATCAAATTCTTTCGACCAGCATTCGAATCCTGGGGTTGTGCAACATGCAGCGTAAAGCTTTATGGGCCATCGACTTGCACATCGAAACCTGTGCAATACCGGGTTCTTCTCAATTTGCGACACCACAAATTCACCAGGGGTGAGAGCACAAGACCTGAGTGCATGCTGGGAACTGTATGGTTGAACAATGGAAGAAAACCGCCAGCTGACAGCTCTGACGTACAGGAACAACTGAATTCCTCTTTGCACCGATTAAAACAAAGGCACACCCGTCGCTACACTTGATACATCGCAAGGCCTCTGACAATATACCGCAAGCGGCCCTTACTTGATTTCGTTGATCCGCCCCATCCAGCGGTAATTTCTCAACTGTTCACCACCAACGCTGCAAGAATCATCGGGCCTCAAAGCATGCAAGAATCGCTTCATGCGTTTCCTGTGGTTGGTATCCACAGGTATGCAGTGAGCAAGACAACGCATGATGCAAACCGCACCTTACTGAGAAGAGTACAATGTGCACAGCCAGTTGACAGGGTGGGGACATCAGCCACAAGGCAAACGTAAGCATGACCTATGGTATGCTACTTCCAACTGGTCAAGAGTGGCTTCAGCGTGCACAAGCGCCATTCGCAAGATGCAGGCGTGTTGAGTACAGTCAGACTCTCCGAGTTCACCTCGGGTAGATTCAGGTTCAAATGAACATGATCCTAACCCCAAGCCGAAAATGTGCACATCATCGATTGACATGCATGTGAGGCGAGAATACACCTAGCCCATAGAGCAGGATGTAGAGCTGTCAACAGCCACCAACCGGAGGCTCCGTCGCTGCCACTCGGACGCCATGCTCTCCACCTCATCGATTACTGCAGCCCTTGCACGCAGGGCGAATGTCTCCTCACTGTCCTTGACCCTGTGGTTCCAGCAGCCGATCAATCGTTGGCGATTGCTCCAAAAGTTTCCACAATGCTTGTGCAACGATTTCCTTGGGAAGCATTATCATTTTTGCACAGTTCTGTTCGTCTCTATGCCATGTTCAAATTCTCGAAGTGTGGCATCAGTCATGGCTGTGTGCTGAACAAGGACAGCATTGCGCCACTGTTCATCAGCGCTTTGCAGTGTGTTTGCAAGTTCGCTGGTTCCCAGAATGTGCATATACTTGCTGTCCAAACTTTGGCCAGAGAGTGTGTCCACAAGAAACTTGTGCGCACAGTGTTACACACCCGCAACTGCTGGAAGAGTGCAGGCTCACCTGTCATATGAGTCGCCCATGATTGCAATGAGAAGGTTGAAGAGCACCACCATCATGGCACACATAAAAAGCACAAACATTATGACAGAAACCACAGGATCGTCCGACTCGAAAAAGAGCTCAACCTCAAACTCCCCCAGCATCATCCCGAACGTTGTCAAGAGCGATCTGTCAAACGATCCAAAAAATTTCTCCACCTCTTCGCTTGTCATAACCCCTTCCTCATCTGGATGACTGTTCCGAAACAGGACAAAAAATGCGACGCTGAATGCACCCAGTAACAGCCCAACGAGGGCCAGGAAGTAAGTTATGTCCCACAAGATCTCAAAGGTGGAGGTCACCAGTGGTGCTGTGCGTGGGAAAGATTGCCCAAAGTACACCAGCTTCCAGAACAGCAAGATCAGTGTGATGGCCACCAACCACGACTCGTGTCTTTTCAAGCCAGGCCCCGCACCCAAGTGCACAGGGGGAATCACGAAAGTCACCAAGACGAGAGACAACACTTCCAAAACATTCCTCTTCTCCATTAGCCAAAACCAAAACGTCTTCCGTCCTTCCAGGCAGTATGTCAACATCTGATGCACCTTCCGGACCAGGCTCAACAGTCCCAAGACGGAAGCGATGCCTATGAACATGGTGATGGCAATATCAAACTTCCCGTCCATGATGTCAGCATGTTCCTGGCGTCCTTCCCTGTCATGGCCCAACATTATGGCAGCAGATACAAATGCTGTCAGGATGCAGATGTGATGCATCAGCTGAGTCATCAGCATTTCAGCAGCGTAGGTGTTCCACTTGTACAAGATGACTGACCGCACGAAGTCGGAGGAGTACGCCTGATTCGGTACGTTTGAGAACAAAAGAGGCCTAAGGATTCCAGCAAGGCCAAAGGCACAGCAATCTGGGTAGGGGTACACAACGGCATGGGCGGTTACCCGCACTTCATCCCTTGACGAATGTAAGCTGGGGTGCATGTTGTGCCACAGGTCTGTGAGTCCATCTTCTGGTGGCACCAGCTTGCCACTCGTCCCCACCAGAAATTTCTGCCCAATGAAAGCCTTTTCTGGCACAACAATCTCCCCAACAGATGCTGACATTGCTGGTGCCTCGATGGTCTCCATGAAGACTGACGGGCAAACAACTGCCAAGTTTACAAGGGACTCTCGCAGGATTTTGCTCATCGCCACCCGAGTAGTGATGCCAGCAAACATCTTCCTCAACAGAACCTGAGCAATTTCTGGGGCGCGGCGTTCAATTGCCAACTGCAGCCCACTCATTCGCTTGTCTCCCACAGTGGCGAACAAGGAGACCTGGATCTTCATGTTCAGGGCCCAAGACATCATCGTCTCTACCAGAACCTTCTCTTTTTCATCCACAAAGTGTATCAAGTTCGACATGCCACTTGAGTCAGGCACATTTATCACTCCTGGGCCATGCTTGTCGAGCAGCGCCTTCATTGCAGCAGGCTCTTTGAACACATTCTTGGCCTTCAGAGACTCGTAGTCAGGAATGCAACCCTTTGTGGCATATGCCGTCCACACTACAATTTTCCTGTCTTCTTGCACATTGGCGATCCGCCGGCCATCTCCTGAAACTGCGATCAGATGTGTTGTGGCCAAGCCACGGCCCCCCTCTACTTCCTTGTGCCCTTTTCCTTTTCCCACAACTCGAATATGTTGTTCGCTCACTTTCTTGTGTGTCCTGTCGAGCATGGCACCCACGATCTCGGTTGTGTTGGGTATCACAGGGACGGAGTCAACCATGACAGCCAGCAGGCCATCATCAGACAATGCCATGCGAGTTGCATAGTGCGTTGTCTGATTGGCCATGCGATGGCTGAATTTCATTCGTTCAAAGCGCACTCTTATTGCCTCGCTCGAATCCTCAATGGTGGAGGCCATAATGGCCACAGGCATCTTGGTCGAGGCATCCTGACTCACAACAGCAAAGCTGCCATCTTTTGCCAGATTTCCAGGGAAGGAGTCCAGCTCTGAAATGTTCTGCAGGAAGAGGGTGGTTCTCTGCACCGAACGCTGCAGGAGGTCATAAACAATCACGCTGAACCCGTCACGCACCACACATGCTGTCTCACCGCCAGAACTGAATATGCATGCTATGCACCCAGTGCCAGGCTCCCTGGCCACAAATTGGCCATTCTCTGTATCTATCCAAACCAGCGATCCGTCCTTCTCACATACCGCAACCACAGGAGGTCCCCTTGCACGCCCAGTGCTGACAAACGAACATCCAATGGCCTGATTACTCAAAGTTGCCAATCGCTGCCCAGCATTTTCCAAATCCCCCACCTCATACAAATCCCACATCACAACTGCATTGTCTTCCATACAGCCCACAACAGACTGTCCATCGAACGAAAATGCAAAGACCACAAACAAGGTGCGCTTAATGGATGGTCCCCAGGCAGCATGCAGGGGTGACGTTCGCCCACCTCGGAAGTCAATGATGTACAGATCTTTCCTCGACTCATCCAGCGCTCCAAGTTTGCTGCCATCGTTGGAAAACGAGCAGGCGATGATTGGCTCAGGAATGGCTTCATCGGAGGGCAGGTTGTAAGCAGCCTGTATGCAGCCACTGTTGCGCGGACCATTGCACACAACGTCTGTGTTCCACAGCAGAACATTGTCGCGGCCACACATTGACACCTTTCGACCACCATCCGCAATGTCTATCCCTCTGTACTCCACAAAACCGTCAGGGAGAGAAAAGCACAGGTGCTGCACTGCCTCTGCGGTGTTCCACACAAACCCCTTGTTCACAACAGAGATGTACAAGACAAGCCACTGCCTGTCTCCGGACACAGCGATGCTCTCATACCCTTCCGCAAGATTGTCCGCCCATCGATTCAGTCTGTTGCCCCATGCACGTGCAACGCCAGTCTCCAAGGAGACAACTGGACTCTGCTCTGTTGCAAAACAAAAGAACTTTCAGAAGAAGGCAACAGACCCAGCACCGTGGTACCCTTGCGTGCAAACAGACGATGCAGTCGCCAATGAATGACACCCTTGCACCACAGCAACAACAACACATTACTGGCAGTGCTGAAAGCAAAGAGACTGCAGCCACAAAACAGATACGACAAGTGAAGCTCCCCCTACATTTGTACAGGACACTGGGAAAGTGCAGAGAGTGAGCTCACCTTTCAGATCCCAAAACACGACACTTATGGTTCTCCCAAGCACACACGAAGCCACATTGTGCCCTGTTCCCACCATGCCGTCCACAAAGCGGCACCACAACACCCGTTTCCCTGCCTCATCTCTGAGGTCGATGGGGTCTTTTGCACGGAGGCGCATCTGCTGGACAGCCGGATCTATCAAAGAAACTGAACCCAATCGAACAACAATTGACTCAGCGCTTTTTATGTCCTGCATGGCCTCCACATCCCAAACATGAAATATTTCAGCTGCCTGGCCCATGGCAAAGGGGTCCCAAGTAACCACATATTGGCCATCGGGTGACCATGAGCCAATTGTGCCTCTCAGTTCGAAACTCTTATTTGCGGTTGCCAGGCCCCAATTGGGCCAGAGAACAACGAACCCTGGAGTGTCCTCAATGGAAGCCCGCAGCCCAACCAACAAGCCACCACCATTCTCAGAGAATGCCCCGCCCGCAAATTTGAGTTCGCCCCATATTTCCCTTTGCCATGGTATGGCAAGCCTCTTGAAAGGCTCCACTTCGCCTTCATTTGAGTTTGCCCAGTTGAATGTTTGGTATATGTCAAGGAAATGGGCACGCACGTCATCTTGGACTCTGACGAAGTAATCTGATGCGGTGTCCTTCTGAACAGCTAAGAAGTCGCGCTTGGCAGAGAAAATTGCATTGGCACTGGAGCTCTTCCAGTCTGCATCTTCATCTTCTGTGCTGGCGATGCCTAGAGAGTCAATTTGCTGGAAGGAAAAGCTGATCTCGCGCCTCAAAGGCAGCTCAGAGCTCTGTGTGTTCCAAACCTGTATGGTGCACCTTGTATCGATCGAAATAACAATTGTATTTGACATCGATCTGAAGAAACAGGCCATGACCTGCACAAGGCAACAACAGTGCAACATGCGATACCAACGTCAGTCTTTTAGGCTATTCACAGGTCTTCATGTCTTCTTCGTGACATCCGCACATGCCCATGCTGCAGCTGACGATCTTTCGTGGCGATCCCACAATTTTGTGTCAATCATGGTCGCAAAGAAAACTTCAGTGCGCACGCCATTGCAGCACGCCATTGCAGCAAAGTTGGTGCCAAAGCGTGTGGATTTCTATAATACCCTTGAGAACCACACCTTCAGTCCTTGCTGCATTCTTCAAAGATGTGATTGTGAGGCACACTGCCACCCAGTACCAGTGTTCTGTGCACTCCCACATCCCACCAACCAACAGCAATTCCAAATTTCTGACGAGAACTGAATACTCGAAAACTGGTGCACTACCGAAAGGTTCAGGAATTGGCAGGTGACCCGCTCACCACAAGCAAATGCTGGTCTGCAGAGCAACACCCCGCATGCGCAGTGGGGTCCATTTCACACCTTGTGTTTGTGGGCGACTTCCATGCTGATCACAAGGCGCCCGTGGTTTGCGTCCCACACCCGTATGGACCCGTTCGAGTGGCCGGTCACCAACCGGCTGCCGTCCCGAGAGAAGGAACTGCACGAGACGGCAAACCTGCCGGGCGCGACCTCGCAGAATGCCCCGTCCAGCTGCTCCAGCGTGGCCTTCTGCCAGTGGAACGTGAAGTTGCTCGCCTGGAGGGGCCCGCGGGGCGCCGGCGCGGGCTTGACCACCTGCGACGGGGCGCCCAGGTCCCCTGCCATGTGCACGTCAGCCTGATTTCGGAACTCGGACTCTCCGGCCCTCGGCGTTGGTCTCATCTTGCTGCTGTCGATGACGAAGACCGGCACGCCGCTGATGACGCGATAGTCGTCGAAGAACGACAGGGGCTTGTCCAGGAGCCGGGCGCAGCCCAGGATGCTGCCTGCTGGGCCCGGTTACACACGCCACGTCCTGAGCTCCTCCCGACTTCCAACCACGGGGGTCGCGCGACGACGGAACAACGAGTCTCCCAGCGCTGGGCGCCGGGGGAAAAGGGAAGGGAGCGACACGAACTGCAACGTCCACTGTCCGCCGCGGCACCGTGGGCTGGGGGGGCGGGGACCGTCTCTGACGACTTTACCAAATTTGGCGTTTCGCGCTTACCTGTCGCCTTGAGGTGGATCCCCCTGCCGTCGGCGGGCACGCAGCACAGGCGGGCCACGGCGGCCTTCACGACCCATCGGGAGCAGTTGTGCACCCACGAGGAGCACTGCTCGATGACGCTGTTCGCCAGGGAGAGCAGCTGGCGCAGCATGGCGCCGTCGAGCAGCGGCACCCACGCCTGCCAACGCGCAATGCCCGCTATTTGTCAGCGGATGCAGCCGCGAGAACATCCCCGGAGAACGGTGGAGATTCGACATTGTCGAAGCGCCGCTGGGACAGGAGACTGCAAGGTTGGGTGGAGTATGCATGTGTGGGAGACGCGGCTCCGGAAACCCCCCAATTGGTCTGAGACGAGTCGACGAGGCGAGTTCGGCGGTCGTCCAATTGGCGCGACTGGCTGAATTTGATAGCCCCTCACGGGGTCGAGGGGAACAGTCGAGCGGAGGGCACAAAGGCGCACGGAAGCGTTCGCGTGGAGCGGCGACACGAGGGAGTCGCATAGCCAAAAGCATCCGGCGAAATCTGTGGCATCTCCGATTGCGGCCCAAATGCGCCCTCTGCCAAATGCCGCAGCTCGGGCCGTGCGCTCAACACCCACCGGGGGGGCCGGGGGGGCGCAGCCGCCGCGGGCGCGACGGCCGGGTCGTCGGGTCGCGGGTCACAGCGGTCACTCCGCCGGGCACGGCCCGGCGGGCCCAGCCAGTGCCGGCCGCCCCTCCTGCCGGGCCTCGCCCTCAACTCTGGAGCCACATTCCCACAAAAGCAAACACCCTCTCGCCCTCCAGTGCTCCCGGCCACGAATCTCCCGGGGTACAGTTCGAGCCGTCCTTGGGCTCAAGTCGACTCAAGTTCTGCCCCAGATAGTTGCGAGGGTGCCAGATCCGGGGGGTCCGGTGGGACGACGCGAACAGGCTCTCTTGAGCCGACCGAGGGTGCGATCCCCTTTCGCAAGCGCGGCGAGCGGAGGACAGGCGACTTGGGGATTCAAGCCGCCGTGTTGTTTGTCCCAGACGTCGTCGCCGGCGCACCGCAGGGCGCGGACAGGGCTCGACAGAGTGGCGGGGGTCCCCTTGTCGGCCGGGAAGTGTGAGCGCGAACAGGATGTGAAATATGGACGACTGGGTGGGCCGTGCCACGCCAGGGAAGTGGGCGGCGGACGTCCGCAACTTCCTGTAATCTACCGGTGCATTACGCTGGACGCTCACGAAGGCTGCGCCCAAGCCTTGCGCCCAGATACTGCAGATGTAGTGCCCAAGGGCCACCAAGTGGGTTAGTGATTGCCTTGGTGAAGCTGGGCGGAACCTAAACTCTGCCAACGACAGCGTTCCCAAACTGCGACAACCTGTTCGGGCCGTCTCCGGTCTGGGATCATCCCGCCCACACTTGGAGCATTGCGAGCGCCGCTTTTCGGGAACAAATCCAAGAAGCAGTCGAACGGTGTACCATCGTGCAAATGCACATCCTCTCGAGGTCATCAGGAATGTTCATTGTGAGGGTGGGAGAATACATAAGTAATTATGTAGAGTATGGTGTTTTGGTGGTGAATTCAATAGGGTGTTAAATATGGTGAAATTGGGAATGATTGGGTGGAACATGGAGGGGACACGCTTGCAGCGAACACTACATGACTGACACAATCATTCTGTAATCCATCTGGTTGCGGCTTGCTCCCCGTGCCTGGGGGAGTGACTGCGTGTGAGCGTACGCATGAATGCGGACAGCGTAATATTCATGATGACCTTCACGAAGGACGCAACAGCTCGTAGGTGCTGAACATGTCCATGAATTGAAAGTCGCTGCCATTTCACCACACTCGGAATGGAGCTCCTTCGCCCAGCATCCAACTGATCGGTGCCCAGACCCATCCTACGGATTTCTACCAGTAGGAAATGTACAGTGCGACGAAAACTGTCTTTTTATCTGCCTTGCCGCATTGCCTCCCATGCCCTGACTCGAAGGTGCTGATTCGCATCGTCAGTGTTAGTACACCTCGAGTTTCAACGGCTGAGAATGATGTCTGGCCCCGGCACAAAATAAAACGGGTAGATATGGGCTGAAACATTGCTGTTCGCAGACACCAGCAGTAAGAGCAAATTGAACAGAAGCCGCTGATCATGTACCAGAGAAGAACTGCTGAGAAGCGGCTGCAGCTCTGCCCAGTCTTTTAGTCAATGCATGGGTACGCATTGAATATTGGGATGGTGAGGCCTGCACTTGGGAAATTTCGTCACGCACAAGTGTCCTGGCATGTTGTTTGGTCCAATGAGCAATCTGCAATTCCAACCTTGCAGTGCTGCAGGATTGAAATTCGAAATTTGTTCTGGGAACGGCCAAATGCCACTAGTGGATTCACGAAACTGTCCATCTACACAGCCATCATAGCTCCATGTCAATAGTATTGAGAAACAAGCAGGTGCCAGCAGCACTACTGGCGCCTGCTTGTTTCTCAACACCTGTTTTGATGAACATTTTCTTGCCTTAGATACGGAATGGAATGACGGCAGAAGGATGCGCTGAGCAGTGGCGTGACAGCAGTGGCTCGACATGAAAATTCTCCTGAACCAAAATCCCCACCGCGCTGTTTGGAGTTTGTCATCCAACTTGCAGCTGCAAGCAATGAAGACGTGGCTGCAGCCATGTTGTCAATGGCAATGTTGTCAGGACGGAGAGCACGAACACTTTCCATCCTCTCCGTTCCACCGCAGATGCAACAATCTGCACACGTGTCTTTCTGTCAAGCTCCCATCCCTACCGCCCATCGCTGTTGCACGTTTTCCCGTCGTTTGCTCAGAAGTGCAGGAACTGAAGTGCAGCGCTCCCCTGGCGTTTCTCACAGCTTCAACGAACGCTAAACCTGAATCTATTCAAATGAACATTGCACACAGATCCGATCGGGTAGACTCCGCAACGACAGAAGGATTGCCGCCAGCCCCACAACCCGTCCAAGAATCAAGGGATGGGCCTGGGCTCATGGAGGCAGACCTCTGCCTGTGATACAACACCAGGCGTTTGGAAAGCAGGTACCCTGCAGAATGTGTGCCTGCGAAGACGCTCCACTTGCGGGAAGCTTTATCAAGCAGCTCATGACTTAGTCGGGAATGTACCAAAGCAGTGATCGTTTGGCCTTTACCGTATGGTAAAGACACGCACGTACAGAGATGGCAAAACACACTGCCACAATACGAAGGCAGCTTCCAAGGGCGCCGAATTTCATACCAGGCACAAATTATGTGTATATCTGTGCGCAAATCTGCCAGGGTCTCCAGGGAGAACTGTGCGCGTGTAGCGTGTGTACATGTACACAGGCACATGTGCCTGTGGCCTTCTGCGGATGTCTGAGCTCTGTGGCCTGCCATCATGTACTTGCGCTTAAGCATGAAAGCAAGGCCAGGAAACAAGCGACAGGACCTATGTGCCTCCTGCCACCTGATTCACCTAAATGTTTGATGCTTGCACTCGGAGAACGTGACGTCAGGCGACGAGATTCGTAACCGATTGTAATCTGTGACAGCCGCTTGTGTCTCTGTCTCATAGTGATTTCAAAACCGGCTTGGGCGTGTGAGAAACCCCGTGCTGTAGCTTGAAAGAGGCTCCATAATATTCTGATCTGGAGCAGCGAGGTCTGGTGGCCGTGCACTCACATCGCCTGACGATGTGCCCTGTTCACAATGCGTTGTACACAAATTGGCTATGATGGACCCCCGAGCTTCCCCCAAAAGGCGCGATCTCAGAACAAAACGAGCTTGAGGGCGGCGCCCAAACGGCGCGCTTCGCTGGAGCATCCACCGCTTGAGAGGGCGCGTGTCATCCACCTATCCACCGCTCCCCACACAGCGCGCACGAGTGCCCGAAACTGCTTGCTCTGCGTTGCAGCACATTCCAAGTCTCTGGGTGCAGTGAACGGTCAGCGCCTTACGCGCTTGCCACCAACAGTCGCCATTGCCTGGAAGTCTGCCCCTGTTCCGGGACTGGAACCCCTCTCTCGAACTGCTTGATGTGAAACCGACGGAGGTTTCCGCTGGCGAAGTTGCGTTTCTCCGGGTCAGGGGCTGCGTCTGACCCTGGGGTCAGTCGACAGCCACCTGCAAGACGCCCGACTGGGGTATTTCGCACTGAAATTGCCGAAAGGGCCGCAGCTTTTTATTCGCTTACAAGGTACCCCAACTGCACCCATCGACAGCTGTCTTTGAAAGCGATTGGAATTGCCACCCCTGGAGGGATGCAAGGAACGCTGCCTCAATGATATCTCCACAAGGTGTCCATAATGGCCACCAATTGAGAAGTTTGACAGTACATCTTCCAAGGAAGAAGCAGCTGCTCAGTAGTAGGGATGGATAAGGCAGTCCTGAAGCACATAAGCTGTTCCGCTTGCGGCTTGCTCTGATGATAGTGGTGAAAAATGATACATCGCAATATGTGCTGAGACGATGGGGAGTTGATTTAAAATTCTCATGTTTGCAGATCGAGCGTAGTGCCAAGGTACATGCGAAGAAAAAGCGGCCGATATCAGATAGCAACAAGTTCCTGCTATAGAGCCACTTTATTGCAAGGCATCTAAATCCAAAACACGTTTGCTTATTTCGATCTTGTGAGTTCCTCAGATTTGGATGCCACAACTTTGATGTATTCGAGCTGGCTGGGAAGGCCGCAAATGTGCATTTGTGTGAGTGGCAACGAAAGCACTCTGAAAACTCCATGTAATTAAAGACTTCATTTGTTTCTTCACTCATGATGCTGGGATCGTAAAAAACACCCCTTCCATTTAGAACAAGCAAGTATTGTAAATTACTGAAATTTATACCACTTTGCCCAAAAAGCAGAGTAAAAGGGACCCCATTTTCATTGAAATGGGGCTAGAGTGGGAGAAAACAAGTTACTCATATTACATAAGCGCCCAACGCATGCCGCCTTTCATTCATCAGTGAGGCAACTTCCCGAACATTTGGTGTTAATATACACATCCGATTTCATCATAGACTTAACGCCCTCGGCTTTTCATGAATGGTAAGCACATGCATCTCACATGCGATGCCTACGAAAATGTGCACAACCCATGTTTGATGTTTTAACCTGTAAGAAATTCTCTGATTCAGTCTTTTTTGCTAGTTAGTACAAGTGAAACTAATCATATTTATCTATCCTCATTCTTTC